GTAGGTGTAGAGTGAGTACAGGAGAGGGCTCAGTACACACCCCTGTGGAGCACCAGTGTTCAGTGTGATGGGGGATGAGGTGATGCTGCCCAGTCTGACCACTTGGCGTCTGTCAGACAGGAAGCTAAGGATCCAGCTGCAGAGGGAGCTGCTCAGTCCTAGATCCTGCAGTTTCCTGTCCAGCTTCGAGGGAACGATGGTATTGAATGCTGAGCTGTAATCTACAAACAGCATTCTCACATACGTGTCTCTCTTCTCCAGGTGTGACAGGGCAGTGTGTAGTGTCAGGGCTATGGCATCATCAGTGGACCTGTTGTGGCGGTATGCGAACTGTAGAGGGTCCAGTGAGTCGGGTAGTGCAGAGCGGATGAAGTCCCTGACCAGCTTCTCGAAGCATTTGCTACGATGGGGGTCAGGGCTACAGGTCGCCAGTCGTTCAATGAGGAGATGGTGGAGGATTTGGGTACAGGGACGATGGTGGCCATTTTGAAGCAGGCTGGGACTACAGACAGAGAGAGGGAAAGGTTGAAGATGTGTGTGAACACTCCAGCCAGCTGAGCCGCGCATGACTTGAGGACCCGGCCGGGAATCCCGTCCGGACCAGTAGCTTTGCGCGCGTTCACCTTCCTGAAGCACTTCCGCACATCCTCCTCAGACACAGTGTGCGCGCTGACGTCATCCGCGGTGCGCCACTGTCCGGTCTCATGGTGTTCGCTGTGTCGAATCTGCGTAGAATACGTTTAGATCCTCACACAGAGAGGCCGTGGTCTGCGGTGTGCTGGTTTTCCCTCTAAAGTCTGTGATCGTGTTTAGTCCCTGCCACATACTCCGAGGGTTGTCAAACTGTTGCTCCACCCTGTCCCTGTACTCACGTTTGGCTGCTTTGATCGTCTTCCGGAGTTGGTAATGTGCGTGTTTGTAGTCCGATGTGTTCGCGGAGGCAAAGGCGGTGCCTCCGCCGTGCCGCGCGAACATCTCCGTTAATCCAGGGTTTTTGATTTGGGAAGGATTTAACTGTTCTGGATGGGACGACATCTTCCACGCATTTCCTGATAAATCCGCAGACTGAGAATACAGCTATACAGAAATGGGAACTATGCAGTGAAAAGTTGTAGGATTAAAGATTATTGAATGTACAGAATGATTATTTACACAGAGCTATACAGTAGTGCAGTTAAGATAAGTGAGGGTGTAGATAGTTTCTACAGAGGCTATATAAAGTGCTAGTGGTTGTGAGTGGTGGTTCAGTCCATGTTATTATTGTGTGTTTGAGGGTACAGTTGTCCATTGTGGTGTGTGTATGTTCAGTCCATGAGTTTAACGTGGGTCAGATGTCAGGAGGCAGAGTTCAGGAGTCTGACAGCTGTGGGGAAGAAGCTGTTCCGGTACCTGGTGGTCTTAGTCCGGAGGCTCCTGTAGCGCCTCCCAGAGGGCAGGAGGGTGAAGAGTCCATGTGATGGGTGACTGGGGTCTTTGATGATTTTCCCAGCCCTTTTCAGACACCGCTTCCTGTAGATGTCTTTTATGGCAGGAAGTGGTGCTCCGGCGATGCGCTGGGCAGTTTTCACGACCCTCTGCAACGCCTTCCGGTCCGAGGCAGAGCAGTTCCCGTACCAGACTGTTATACAGTTGGTCAGGATGCTCTCGATGGTGCAGCGATAGAAGTTCACCAGGATGTCTGAGGACAGGTGGTTCTTCCTCAGAGTCCTCAAGAAGAAGAGGCGCTGGTGAGCCTTCTTGACCAGCTTGGAGCAGTTGGTCGTCCAGGTGAGATCCTCGGAGATGTGGACTCCCAGGAACTTGAAGCTGCTCACACGCTCCACAGCCGTCCCCTTAATGTGGATGGGTGGATGTGGGTCAGCATTCCTCCTGTAGTCCACGATGAGCTCCTTGGTCTTCTCGGTGTTAAGCAGCAGGTTGTTTGTGTCGCACCACTCAGCCAGACGATCCACCTCCTCCCTGTAGGCGGCCTCATCGTTGTCACTGATGAGGCCAATCACCGTGGTGTCATCTGCAAACTTAATGATGGTGTTGGAACCATCAGCAGGTCTGCAGTCGTGGGTGAAGAGGGAGTAGAGGAAAGGGCTCATCACACAGCCTTGTGGTACACCAGTGTTCATTGTGATGGTAGATGAGCAGCGGTTATCCAGCCGGACATGTTGGGCAGTTGTCAGAATTACCAGTGACTTTCATAATAATAATAATAATAATAAATTTTATTTATGAGCGCCTTTCAAGTCACCCAAGGACACTTTACAATAGGATAAAACACTTAGTAAAACAATGGCAGAATAAGAACAATAAAATAAAGCACAAGATAAAATGAACAAACAGTGGATTCACAGTGAATATGCAGATTTGAACAGATGAGTTTTGAGTTGGGATTTAAACTGGGGGAGAGAACCAATATTTCTTATTTCAGGGGGCAGAGAGTTCCACAGCCTGGGAGCAGAGCAGCTGAAAGCTCTGCTTCCCATGGTGGTGAGGCGGAAGGAAGGTACAGTAAGCTGGATAGAAGAAGAAGAACGAAGTGAACGGGCAGAACAAGTGGTGGTTAACAGGTCAGAAAGGTAAGAAGGAGCGAGGTTATGAAGGGCCTTGAAGGTGAGCAGAAGAAGTTTGAAAATTATCCGGAATTTCACAGGGAGCCAGTGAAGTTCCTGAAGAACAGGGGTGATGTGCTGGTAGGAGGGGGTTCTGGTGATAATGCGAGCAGCAGAGTTCTGAACCAGTTGAAGCTTATGGAGGGATTTTTGGGGGAGACCATGCAGAAGAGAATTGCAGTAGTCAATACGGGAGGTAACAAGACTATGTACAAGAATGGACGTAGACTGGGTGGAAAGAGAAGGAAGCAATCTGTTAATGTTACGTAGATGGAAGTAGGCAGAACGGGTGAGGTTATTGATGTGAGATTTATAGGAAAGTGAACTGTCTAGGATGACACCAAGGCTCTTAACCTGAGGAGAAGGGAAAACTGTGGAGTTATCGATGGTGAGTGAGAAATGGTTTGCCTTCAAAAGGTTGGATTTGGTGCCGATAAGGAGGATCTCAGTTTTATCCTCATACTCATTATACTCATTTTATACTCAGTATGTCAGTCATGTTACTGACTTACTGCCAATTAACCTCTAAATGCTCCTCCAGCTGATTCACTTTAATAACAGTGACTTTTCCAAGCTTTTGTTGCCTGAATACAAATCATTGCATTTTGTTTTTATTGACCAAACCAGAATGAGAATGTTAAAATTTACAATGTTGACTGGGAACTGCAGTAATAGATAATATTGTTGGGTGTAACTATGAGTTCAAATGGCTGTTTTATTTATCAGCAGTGGTCTAACATTGGGTAAGCTCTTTCATGTTAGGTTTGAGGGTCAGCAGTGATGTAACTAACCAAAATAAATGAGAATCATGAATGTTAAAAATATAGATATTTTTTTTAATAATAGAATAACATCACTTCTATCCTGGGCAGGTTTACCTTACTCAACCACTTTGATTTCTCAGTAAAACAAACAAAAAAACAAACAAACAAACAAAAAAATTTCTGGCACAGTTATTTGTTCATTAAGAAATTAACAAAGAGTGTTCTAGAAAAACACTTTTCCGTGCTGCAGGACAGTGGTTTCATGGTCAGTGTTTAACCCTTTGAGGTCCTCACCAAGAAAAAAGCAATGGAAATGTTTTTGTTTCGATTTCTTATTGATTTGGGTGACTAATAACCACAATCAATATTTCTTTTTTCAATAGACCCTTTAGTTTTTAAAATATTGATTTCTACCAAACAGTTGAGATGTCCCTCTATGGTAAAAGTATGAAATGTCATGCAAATACAAGTACATTAGATAATACAGTTGAGAAAAAATCAAATAAAGTGCCAAATTATAATTAAATTAATAACAAAACTATCCAGGCCATTGGATAAAGTTTATTTCTAGTAGCATGCCAGTGAACACTGCTGTTTTCATTCCATCAAATGAAAGTATTATATCAAACAACAAAATACATAGTTTTTTCATCTGCAAATGTGAAAAATGTGATACAGCACAAAATACTCACATTCAGGCCACTTCTGATTGAATGCTACTGTGCAAAATCATTTTTGTTTTAAAAAAAGTGCAAATCAAGCACATCTGCTTGTGGTTTTGGTCGTTGGGGTCTTAGGGTGTAGCATTTATTCTGTGGTCTTGGAGAGCTGATCATGGTTGTCCAACTCTAGATGCTGGCTTGTTAACTTGGTTCAGACACAGCCAGGTGGAAACCTTTTGAGAGCCATCGGTTTCTGGTCCAGTAGGGCACAGTCCCTCTTGTAGACCAGGTATTCAAGTCAAGGATGTATCCGAACAGTGGAATATGCCATCTCCTTAACATTTAACTTATAACTTGTCTTGTACAGGTGTAATAGCATATCAGAAACTTTAATTCCTCCCTTATGCTAATTATATACAGGGATGAGTGATGGGCATGGAATGGTGATCTGATGATGTTTAGGAGGTTGACACATTTTGTGTCAAACCATTGCATTGCAATCAGACCTTGATCAGCCTGTAATAACAGGCTTCATGGCCCTTCTTCATTAGTTCTTTGTCTGCCATCAGGGGAGCTCCACCGGTGCAGTTTGGTCATACAGTACCAATGCACCTGACACCCAAGGAGGTGTGCAAGTTCTGGACCAAGCTGAAACTTGTGAAGAACTGCAGTTCTTTTATGGGTTTGCATAGTGGGTTTTTTTTACAACTTTGGCCCCTTAAAGGTAGCTTCTGTTCCTTTTCACTCAGTGGAGCATTGAAGAATGTAGACCCCCCTTGATACAGCAGCAAGTTGTGGATGATGCCAGATGAACTTGCTTGGCAGAACAATTTAAAGCCCCACTCATCTGGTTTGTTGGCAATATACTGGTGGAGAGTGCCAGCCCTTGTTGCTTCATATGAAACCATGACCTCAAACACACTGTGGTTGAAGGTGGGTGATATCATCAGTATCATGCCACAGGATCATGTGATTTTGAGCCATATAATTGTTTAGTGTCCATATAGTACTTGTTAAACATGAAATTATAATTTTAACAACTTAGTAATATTAATTTACCAGCTACTGTAATTTGATTAAAAGGTAATCAGTTGTGATATTTATGATTTACACGTGTTATTCTTGATTTTTACAATATTTATTAATATTAACTCAGAAAGTTACAAAAATGACTTACTGAGGAAATTATTTCAGCATATTCTTGCTGTGCTAACACTTAATGTGATTTATCAATAGCAATGGATAAACAAAATGGGTCTAGTGGTCTGATTTTATGGCAAATAGTCAATTTTAATAACATTTAGGTTATGTTAGCATTAGCACCATAAAGATGCTTTTGTTTGACCACTTTTTAAAAAAATTATTAAACATTTAATTTCACTTTTTTAATACATTCAAGTGACATACATCTGTTTAGTAAGTCCTCCAACACTATCATATATCAAAAAATGTTATCTTCCTACCTTAGTTTTATTGGGAGAGGGATAAGAAGAGCCAACAGTTTCCATTTGCAGTGCCTTCTGATGGATTTTTTTGGCATTACAGATGTAAACCAATTGGTAGAAAAGACTCAATAAGGTAGGCCAATTTCAGTGAAAGCCTCAGTTAGATATAGGGCCTGAAAATGTGCTCTACCAATTGGTTGACCGGAACACTAAAGGGTTTTAAACAGTGTACAGTGACATCAATGTGTTGATGCATGTAAGTAAGCACACAGGTGAAATGTTATGTTTATTGTGGTTCAAAGACATTAATTAAACATCTATACATGAGTTTGGTCATGGATCAGGTTCAGAGTCGCCCATTCCAGAGATCATGAGTCTGCTGAACACACAAATCAGCTGCTTCTTACTCCATCAGAAAGAGCCAGGACTAGGATCAGGATCCTGCCTCATTAATTGAAAAACAGAGTATGATCTAGATAAAGAGATAAGGACAGAGTCAATAAGACACTCTTTATCCACATGAGGACAACTGATCTCAATCAAACATCAACAACAATGATTCAGTGAAGTCCCTAGTTTAAATGCATGGACTCTGTCTGCTCTGAAAAACGGGTCTGAACTGGTGTGAAATCCTTTAAGTCTGAGAGGGAGATGCCTGAGGCCTGAAGCAGCTGAGGTTGTCTAAATAAGGGACTAATATCTAATCAGAGGACAGCAGATAAAATATAGAGTTCAAAAATACACATGTGATTGTGTTAATTGGTAATTTAGCTTCCAATGCAATATTAGAATAAAAAATTGTAATAAAAGCTCAGACTCAGGCCCTTTAGATGGAGAGCCAATCCAGACCTCTTATTCAGGGATAGCTGGGATCTATCACATTTGAACGCATCAGTGAAATTAGACTGGGGCCTAAATATGGACTTAAAACTTGTCTAAACTTGTGAGAAATTAAATTCACTAGCTGAAAGTGAATATAGAACATAAACAGGCTAACAAAAAGGCTGACATAAACGCTTGCCAACTGGTCTGTGAGTGTGAGTCCTGGTCTAACCTGCGGCTTTCCACCTGTAGAGAAAACATCCAGCCAAAAGTAAGATCAGACCCAGGGTCAGTATAGAGGCTCCGATGGCAATCAGCATGGTTGATTCAGGAGTTGATTTGTCCGAGGACGGCTCTGAGTCGGACAGGTGACAGACAGAGGCCAACAGTCAAACAGACAGGTGAGCAGTCAAATACATATTTCTGTGGACATAAAGACAGGTATTTACCCCAGTCAGTGATCAGAGGTTCCTTCAGGCTGGCGTGCTCCACCACACAGGAGATGTTCTCGCCAGACCTTCAACACAAAGACCACTGATTCACAAACCACTCACAGAACTGGATCTGGAAATGAACCTGGATCTGATGTGGACTGACCTGGGTGTGTACTCCAGGTAGGAGTGAGTCTGGTAGTACCAATCACCATTTGCCATCTCCTTAGTGGAAGTGACATCAGAGGTGACTTCCTGTCCGTCTCTGAGCCAGCTCACTTTGATCTCACTGGGAAAGAAGTCGTAGACGCTGCAGACCAACATGGCAGGATGTTGACCAGAAAGCGGAGTCTTGGACTTAATTCTGACACTGGGCTGAACTAAAAACCACACAGACATTATATTTCCATTGTGGCAATATTATGTGTAATGGGATAGAATCATCTGTAATCTACCTATAGAAAATGTGTCAGCTGTCAGAATAATGGCATCATTTTGGTTATTTGTAATTAAATAAATTAGAATTGCAAATTTCAAATCAATTTTATTTATATTGCTTCAAATCACAACAGTTGCCTATTGTAAGGTAAAATCCCTACATTAATATAAGGAAATAAGATTAAAAAAAATGCAACAATCATATGACCCCTATGAGCAAGAGTTTTGGTGAGAAAACTGAAGGCTCTCCCTCACATTCTACTTTTAAATACTCTAGGAATGACAAGTAAGCCTGCAGTGCGAGAGCGAATTGCCTAATGGCATGATATGGCACTGTAAAGTCATTAAGATAAGATGAGGTCTCATTATTGAGGAGCAGGATTTTAAATTAAATTCTGGATTTAACAGGAAGCCACTGAAGGGAAGCCAATACAGGGGAAATATGCTCTCTCTTTCTAATTCATAATTTCTAATATCATAATTTTATTAATATCATATTTTTATTACTTCCTTTATTACACCCTAATCTCATGAATAATTTATTGGGGTCATAAATCACTCTGTTTGACATAAGGGGCGTAATATCACTCTCTCGAATGAACTAGTTTTTCAGCGTCACTCTGAGACAGGATATTTCTAATTTTAGAGATGTTGCACAAATGGAAAAAAGCAGTCCTACATATTTGTTTAATATGTGTATTGAAGGACATCTTGGTAAAAAATGACACTTTTTTTTTCAAATTGCAATTATTAATTAACACTAACAGTATCAGTGTGAGATAGGCTACGTTCACACTGCAGGCGAAAGAGCATCAAATCCGATTTTTTTGACCCTATGCGACCCATATCCGATCATGGTATGACAGTGTGAACGGCACAAATCCAATATTTTCAAATCCGATCTGGGTCACTTTCGTATGTGGTACTGAATCGATACATATCCGATGTTTCAGAAAGCGACTGCTGTTTGAATGGTCAAGTCGCATTAAATCTGTCTTTTACGTCACCGACACACGCCAATTATAGCGCCGGAGAAGCGCCCGATAAGACATCGCAAATGCTTCCTGGCCATCCAGTGAAACTGTTGGGAAGACTGCGTTGGAGAAACATGAACATTTTATTTGTACTGTATAATCTGCAGATTCTGACAGAAATCTGCAACTATCCTTTGAAGCAGCGCCTCTCTAAAACAGCAATAAGGATAATTATTAGGTTATTTACATTATTATGTAAATAACAAAATAACTTAAAGCAAAAATTGGGAAACGTAAAGTCCGAAGTCTTTATATTAAGGGCCATCAGTCAAACAATACTGTTTGCTCTGGGTCTAAACAGAGCGCGTTGTGTGTGACGTCTTCTTTTGCACATGCGGGCCGCTTTGAGGGTTCACACTAGAGCGTTTGCTGTCGCATTTTATTTGTAGTGTGAACAAGCAGACAAAAAAATCGGATTTGAAGAAGCTCAAGTTTTGCCACCAGCATTCAATGCAAGCTGTATTTACACAAATATTTGTTAAATCATCTTCTACTTTTTAACTTCTAATTAAAGTTTTAATTAATCCTGAAATAATTTAATAAAATTTTTTTCATTGTTAAAAAACTTCGTTTCTTGAATTTTAAAGAAACAGAACTCCAGTAGACTCCAAATTTCTAAACAAATTTAAACCTTCAGGAGTTTAAGGATTAAACTGAGTGATTCAGAGTGTTGGTCACTGTGTGGCTGAACATGATGCCCTGATGATGTTGCACAACTACACACTCACCTGACTTAGCTAGAACAGCCCGATCATGAACATCAATGTTATGGTAACAATATTCCGTTACCATTTGTCTCATTGAATTCAGCCGTGCAGTATTATTGTTCCAGAGCATTGCCAGCTCCACTCCATGCTCAGTGAATCCAACATACTTCCCCACACTGCTGCTGAACCTGATGTACTCTATCTTCTTGTAATAGCGAGAGTAGATGTACTCGATGTGCTTCAGCGCAGTGGAGTTAAATTCACAGCGTTCCACCCTATACTCTAAAAATCCATCTGAAGAACAAAACAGAACATCAGTGAAGTGCAGACTGTGGAGAACTGATCATACCTGCTCTATAATAGATGATAAAGTATAAACTGTATGTTGTATTGATGAGTCTTTTGATCAATGAACCATGTATTGATCAACAATATACAGACCAAAGATGGATGTATTAATTGGTAATAGTGTGTTGATCAGTGCATTGATCATACCTGCAGTGCGGATGCTGATGAAGAGGAGGGTGAAGCAGAGAAAAGATGAAGCCATGTTCCTGAGTGCTCTTAACAAACTGCCTCAGTCTGACTGAGAGCTGCTTTAAAAGCCAGATGACATAGTCACTTGATCACAGCATCACCTGTTAATAGGAAGAACTCTCTCAGAAAGGTTTCTTCTGTAGTTTATAACCCCACCCTGCCACACCCCTTTTTTCTCTAGCTAATGCAGTCCTAGGTATTAATGCGACTGAGGACTGAGGATGTTCAGATGGAAACACTGTGACTTATTTGTTCAGATAAAGATAAACTAAATACAAAATGATTTGGCTTTTATAAAAGTGTGATATTATCTATCGTTAAGCAAATATACTGGAACCAGCAGGTTCATCATGTTCATTAGTCAAAGTAAACTTTATTGCCATCTCCGCTACATACAGTATCATTATTGATGACAGTACGTGTTAGACAAAGTAAAGCTTCAATTTGTTTGAAGACCTGAAACATTTAAGTGTGATAAACACATCAACAGTATTTTCATGATTGATTATGGTGAATTACTCTGAGGTCAGAACCACATCTCTAACTCTGTAACTGCATGAGTCTGTGGACATCAATTAAGCTGTTAATGAACCTGCAGTCAGCTGAGACTGAATAAATTACATGGATGAGTGATGAAATCTTTCTCCCACTGAAAACGTCACATCCAGATGAACAGAATCAACTTTTTGAGATTTTCTTACCTGGATGACTGAGCATGTATCAAGACATTATTGATCAGTTCTACAGATCTTTAATCAGTGATTCTACAGTAAATGATTCCGAGGAGCCGACTGACAGTGTAAAAGCTTCATTACTGTCCACAGACTCACGCTGTTACAGAGTTAGAAATTTGATCTGACCTCAAGGTAAATCACAAGTGAAAAAGTGTTTGCCCCCTTCCTGATTTTTTTTCTGTATTTTTATATTAATATGATGTGACTGTGAAAAAAAATCAGTAACTAATTACTTACGGTTCCAAAAAAGTAATCCTGTTACTTGTTTTCAAAAGTAATTATTTGCTTAGTTAGTTACTTTTTAAAAACATGACACACAAGCTGAATAGGTAATAAAGCAATAATTACCTGCATAATCCATCATATAAAATGTAATCAAATGAAAAAGTTTGTTTTTAAAACTTGCTTTATTAGTTTTAATCTTTTAACTTTATGCATCAAGCAAAAATTAAATTAAATGCAAGTCTTTGACTTGAAGAAATTTGTTTAGCATTTAAACCTATATTCTGCACATTCCAGCATATAAAATAAAACAGTTTTTTTGCGTTTACACTGACTCTTTCAAATAGATGCAAGTAAAACACAGCAGAAAATCAATAAATTCAAAGACTCAGCGGCACTAAGCCCTGTTGCTCTTCAATCTATTTTCACCTGTATAGCAGGAGTGAGGTAGGCGGAGGTTTGCCCTGGTGCAGGTGTGCTGCAGCGGTCATGTTAGTGGAAGGATCCGGGAGTTTCTCTGTGAATTTCACATTCCCGTGGCAGCGTACTTGGTGCTTGCTCAGAAGTTTATGGGTTTTTTTCGCTGTAGAAAGAAGTTTTCAGTGTATAGCGGACACTAATGTTTTTGTCACTTTTTATGAAACAAACTCAAAGTAAGGTCAGTACTTCCATGCTTTAAAGGCGGCACAGTCATACTCTCTCCCGCACTCGATATATAATCCATTGTTGATCTGCACAAGTCTGTTACCACGAAAGTCACACATGCTAATATCATTGTCGTGAGACAAGCTTTAGCTTGGCACACACCTGGGGAACACAGCCGAACAGAATCTGTCTGACGAGACAGGACAGACAAACCGGAATATGAAGCACACGGAATGAGGGACTGCCAAAATTACAGTTTAGCAATGCAGTAACGCAGCGTGCTTACTGGAAAGTAACAGTAATCTAATTACCTTTATTGCAATAGTAATCCCTTACTTTACTTGTTACTTGAAAAAAGTAATCGGTTTACAGTTACTGCCCATCTCTGGTGGTGAATCACATCTTCCAGCTTCACTTAGTCCAACATTTACTGTCATCTGTTACAATAAACATGATGAACGTGCTGGTTCCAGTATCTCTGCTTTACTGATCATCCAAAACAGAAAATAATATCACACTTTATAGAAGCCAAATCATGTTGTATTTGGTTTATCTTTATCTGAACAAATGGGTCATATGTTTCAATTTGAACAGTCCAAAAACTTTGGACCACATATTGCTACCAGCTTAATCCTCGGTCACATTAATACCTGGCACTGCATTAGCTAGAGAAGAAAGGGATTAATTGATTGATTGATTGATTGATTGACTCATTCATTGATTGATTCATTGATTGATTCATTGATTGATTCATTGATTGATTGATTCATTGATTGATTGATTGATAGTACTTTATTCATCCCGAGGGATGTGGCAGGGTGGTGTGATAAACTATCCAAAAAACCTCTGTTAGAGTTCTTCCTGTTAACAGGTGATGCTGTGATCACGTGACTCTACACAGTAAAAAATGAGTGTCAGTTTTGCAGAGTTGATTTTATCTCTGTTTCAAATAACCTTTTGTCCCACTCAAAATTAGAGTAAAATTTACTCCATGGCCAGTCTTAACTTTTTAGTTTTAATTCCTCTCAATTTGGTGTCGAAATGAACAATGAAATGTTCAGAGAAATAAGGTTACACTTTACACAGCTTTTTTTTTTTTTTTTTTACTACAAATGCAGTTTAATAATAACACACTAATGTGTAATAATATTTCACTTCTATTTCTCTGTAGTGTAATTTTTTATATTCATCATATTCAGTTCATCATCATCAGGTTGTCAACATTAAAGACAACTAAATCTTGCTTTGTCCTTTGTCAACTCATAGGCATAGGAATGCTTTTGAAAGGCTACTGCACATGATGGCAAATTGAGCAGCACTGGTTTCTCATGTATTATCAAAACTTAATCTGGTAAAACAGAGGCATCAGACACTACTTTAACATTGTTTATCCCTTTTACATTCAGAGAGACATACTTTAAATCACTCATTGCAGGATCTGGTTATTTAAATCATGTAGAGTGGTAGCAACAGTAAAAGTATCAGCCTCATAAATTAACTTATAAGAAAGACTCCAAACGTCCCTCCGCCCGCTCATATGTAGTGTTGATGCATGTGTGTTCTAAGGTGCATTTTCTCTTCATTTTGAGAAGAGAGGGAAGCCACGTTTCAAAATATGTAATAGCATTCGTCTTTTCCACCCCTTCCTTGACACTAAATATGCGGAGATTATATCTTCTACTCTGAGCTTCTTGATCATCCAGCCGGTTTGAGAGCATGCAAATCTTACTTTCTACACGAGTAAGCCTAACTTCCATGTCGGCTATTATATCCTCCGCATTCGAGGCAGGTCTCTGCTTCATCAAGGCATCTCGTGTTGCCATCAAGAGTTGCCTGAATAGCATCAAGTTTGCTGTTGATAACATCCATCTTCCCTTCTATAATCGTACCAACCACATCTGTTATTTTTGCAGTTAAGATGTCATAATCGAAGGGGTAGCTTGGGTTAGCTTCAGCCATGCTTCCATCATTAGCTTCAAGGTTAGCCTTCAGACTGACCTGGCTTCGAAATTGCAAACTGAGCTTTGGAGGTCTCTTATCGGCATTCTCTTTTTATCCTTTTTAGCTGGCATGATGTCCATAGGTCAGTGATAGTGATGCGTGAATCTCGCGAATACTCGAGAATCACTTTACTGACTCATGAATCATGATTCACAAGCCCAACTGACTCGCTGACTCATCCCTGTTGGTTTTAGCAAACTAATTTCATTAGTAGAAATATATCTAACTTATAATTAAAATTGTGGAGAAAAACACGAAGTATCCAGTATCTTAACAAAAACATTTCTGCTCTGAACTGGAAGAAAAAACCCTGAGTAGAATCTCTCATCAACGGTGCGAGTTAGGCGCACCGGCACAAAAGTTAGGCGCACTCAAATATTTCAACCACATCGCTAAAACCGCAGTTTTACATGTGCACT